AATGCGGTTGGCGAGTTTCTGCTCCCATAAAACTTTTACTAACGTAATAAATGGGAGATTGCGTACCTTCGTTCTCACGGACTAAAACTGCACTTACCGCGAGGTAGATTAACAGTATTTCACCTTCCTCTGGTTTGGAAAGTAGCGGAGGGCTTGACAAGTATCTTTTCAAATCTCTCAGAGCTTGCTGGCACTCCGGGGTCCATTCGACATTGTTTTCTTTTTGAGGTGCGAAGAAACGGTGACATTTTTCTGATGACCGAGAAATGAACTTGCTCAAAACTGCCAATCTCCCCGTGAGCCTTTGGACTTCATTCACGCTTGACAATTGGTCCGGGATGTCTTCGATGGCCTTGATCTTATCAGGGTTTACCTCAATCCCCCTCTACGATACCAAAAATACCAGGAATTTGCCGGAGCTGACCTCAAACACGCATTTCTCGGGGTTAAGCTTCATGTTATGCTTCCTCAGGATGTCAAAAGTTTCTTGCAGATGCTTAAGGTGATCACCTACATTCAAAGACTTAATAAGCATATCGTCTATATAAACTTCCATAGTTTTTCCTATTTTCTTTTCAAACATCTTATTTATGAGCCGTTGGTAAGTGGCTCCGGCGTTCTTCAATCCGAAGGGCATCACATTATAGTAATATGTGCCGAAGTTCGTTATACACGAAGTCTTTTCCTGATCCTCCAGGTTCATCTTAATTTGGTTTTACCTGAAATACGCATCAAGAAAACTCATTAACTCGTGCCCGGCCGTCGCGTCGATCATTTGATCGATGTTTGGCAGTGGGAACGAGTCTTTCAGGCACGCCTTAATCAAGTCCTTATAATCTACACACATGCGAGATTTGTTGTTCTTCTTAAGAACTACGACTACATTAGCTAATCAGTCTGGATACTTTACCTCTCGGATTAAACCGATATCAAGTAAGTGAGTTACCTCTTCTTTGACAAATTTATTCCTGGCTTCCACAATAGGGCATTTCTTTTGTCTTATCGGAGGTATGTTGGGATCTATACTTGTGTACGGCTACCTCCGTCGGGATACCTTTCATATCCACATGCGACAATGCAAAACAATTGGCATTAGATTTAAGAAATTTAATAAAGCCAGACCTGAGCTCGGGGTGCAATCCTGTCCCCAAGTGGAATTTCCTTTCTAAGAACTCTTCGAACAATGCAACTTGCTCGAGCTCTTCCGCTGTGGATTTTGTCCGTCTCTTCTGGAACCTGGAAATACCTCGGCACCCGGTAAGATTCCGACGCTTCTACCCTGACAGACTTCATCCGATTCGGGAGCCGGTGCCGGTTGTTGTAGTTTCTATGCTGCGTGTTCCTTCCCTTTGCCGCTGGATATCGAAATTGCATTCATCTCTCTTGCCGCCGTTTGGTCACCCCTTATTTGTTTAACTCCTTCGGGCATTGGAAACTTCAGCAATTGATGATATGTTGATGGTACAACTTTCATCTCGTGCAACCATGGTCCTCCCAGAGTAATGTTATATCCCATATCATCATCTACCACTTCAAAAAGAGTTGTTTTTAACACTCCTTCGGTGTTCCTGGGTAAAAAAAATTCTCCTCGAGTTGTCACGCTCGCGAGGTTGAATCCGGCGAGGAGTTTCGTGGCCGGAATAATGCTTCCGGTGAGTTTAGCTTGCTCCAATACTCTCCATTGTATTATATACTTCCTGGATCCACTAGAACACGTTTAATTTTAAAATCTAGCACATTTAAAGAAATGAACAGTGCGCCATTGTGCGGTAGCAGTAATCCGTCTGCGTCCTCCTCCGTGAAAGTGATATCGTCTTCGGCGACTTCCTGGAGCCTCTTGCTATGGGTTATTGATACTTTCGTCTTTTTTGCTGCCGAGAAAGTAACTCTGTTGATCTCGTTCCCCCTGAAGATCATGTTGATCGTCTGGCATGGGGGGATCTTCTCTTACTTTCGAGGATTTCGCTTTGTTACGACCGTAATTGTTCTTAGCTCGATCACTCAAGAATTCCCTGAGATGACCATTCTTCAATAGTGTTGCCACTTCTTCCCGGAGATGTCGGCAGTGCCCAGTCCGGTGTCTACTTGTAAAAGAAGAACAAAGAAAGAGAGAAATAGGAAGTCACCAAGAATTTAAGTGAGAGCAGTAAGGAGGAAAAGTTGGCTTACTCGGTTTATATACCAAAAATATCTAGATGTAATATTTATATCTTCTTTTCTACTCTATCTTTTACTAGTTAATCTATATCTATATATACTATATTAAAAGTATGAAGGCCCTTAACGAAATATTTCTCGTCTTTTTTACCCTTTAAAAATAGGTTTCACACTAAGCAAAATTGTCATTTTATTATTTTCCTAATATTTAGTAATAGACATTAATTATTTTTCCTAATATTTAGGAATTTGAAATCAATTAAATTTTATGTAATTATGGACCTTCCTTATTTAAAAAATAATACAAGGACTGTAAAATAAAATAGGAATATAATAGCTTAATGAAATACAGTCTCCATGCTCCATATGTTTTCTTCATTAGTATCGTTGTCTATTCAACGCAATTAGTATAATGAGACTATCATACATCCCCCGTTTATAAGGGTAATTAACATATGAAATTCTTGTGCATAAATAAATCTATATTTATACTATATTAAAATTACGAAGACACTTAGCGAAATATCGTTCATTTTTTTAACCTTTTTAAATAGTTTTTACAATAGACAAATTGGCAATTTAGTTTTTACTCCTAATATTTAGGACTTTGAAATCACCTAAAAAAATTTCATATTAATTCTTTACTTATTTTGAATTAGAATTATTGTCTTAATTATATTTGAACTACTATCCTTTTGTGTATGAACTACGTATTATGTAAGACTTTTTCGTCACCTTATAGTTTCTCACAACAATTTCCATATAAAAAATGTTTAGATATTCGTTCTTCTCATAGGGAACTTTTTTTCTTATAAGGAAAAACTTCTATAGATTGTAACTATTAAAAGTAAGAGGTATGTACTTCATTAAATATTTTTTAATTATTGAATGTAATTTTAAAATATTATTCAAAAATTAATTAAGAGAAATATTATTGTTCGAATAGGAATGGAGTTAATAATTATCTATATTTTCTAAGTTATTTTAACAACACAAAGTCCCAATGCGAAAAAAATAAATTCTTTGAATTAAATAAGTAGAAAAATTATCTAATTCAATTCTTTTCCAAAATCTTCATGTAAGTAAAATTATTTTTTAAGTTGATAAAACTCCTAAGTTACGTAAATTTATTTCCACAAGAAGAACACTAGCGGTTAAAGAGATTAAAAAATAGAGCAAAATTAGCTATATCATAGTATTATTTGTTACTTATTTTCCGTATTAGGTAATAAAAAATAATACTTTTTATCATATATTCCTACATAAGTCATCAGAAATCACAATAAAGTATATAATTTCAAGTGGCGACTCTGAGTAACTAAATAATCCCATTTCGAATAATGTCACTTTAATTGGAAAAACTCCCTATCCTCTCGGAAAAAGGAGGTGTGACATTTGTTTTCAATAAGTTAAAAGCTTGGAAAATTAAATAATAATTTAACATTTTGAAAAGGAAATTTATTTCTTACTTAAGATTAGCATAGATGCGAAATTTTATTAATTAAAAATGTCAAATAGTGAATACAAAGAAATAATGAAGCTTTAAAATTAATTGAGGTTTTACTACATTCATAATGCCATTATACAAGAAAATAATGATTTTTTTATTAATTAAAAAGGACATGTAATGAAGATAAGGAAATAGTGACGATTTTAACACTAATTGTAAACTTTTGACAGTTTTTCTTTTTGACACAACTAAGAGCACACACTTTTAGTTGGTATAAAATGGAGTATAAATTTTTTTCTTCTAATTAGCGTGCTTATTTAATTTATTTTAGAACTTTATAATCAGCTAAAATTTTACTATGATAATCATTTCTTATTGAACTGCGTATGAAATCCTAATATTTAGAAGTTCAAAGATTTTACCTTATACAAGTTATTTTTCTATTTGAATAATGTAACATAAAATTTTAATAAAGGCTTAGAAAATTAAGGCTTACATCACGTGTATTTAGGATCTCCAATTTAATGCACATAGAAAAATTAAAAGGCTTTTTACTACTTCAAAGACGGAGCCTAATCGAACGAAAATATTAATACTTTATTCTAATAGATACTATAAAATTAAACATAAATATTATTTTTATGTAGGTTTGGGCAAGAAGTTAATAAAAACAAAAATAAATTTTTAATACAACAAATTAAACTTTTCTCGAAAGACTACTATTTTCTTTATTGACATTTTTTGCGAAGCAACCAAGCTACAAATTCAAAAATTAGAAAACGACATTTAGTCTTAGAGGAATAATTATATAATGTAGCTAATCATTATGTGCTTCCAATAAGATATTATAAGCAATAAATTAACAAATAATTCAATACTCTAATTCATTACTAAAAAAGTATTAATGAATATACTATTTGTAAATTGTTATTACTAACACTAATTATTGAATAATAAGTTTCATAACTCACAAATACAAAATTGTTGTATCAAACGAAATAAAGTAAAAAAATAAGAGTTTGGAGAGATAAATATAAAGAATCAAATAAAGAAAATCTAACAAAAGTTATAACATGAAGAATTTTAAGATAAAGAGTTCTATCAAATTCACTTTCACGATATTAGTGTTTGATCTCAACTTTTGAACTACTATTAATGAATAGAGCTTTTGACGAGTCAACCTTACCCCCTAGATTAAGAAATCTACCTTTTAGCATTAATTAGCAATGGAATTAACCATATTAACCTTTACTATCTCACATAAACACTCCTAACACATATTCCAACACTATTTACTCCAAGGACAATATAGGAAAAAAATAATTAATTCATTCTTGAAATCTTGAAAAATCACTTATTTTGGACCACATGAAAAAGGCCAAAAAATCACTTATTTTGGACCGGAGGAGTACTTTTTTTTTTCATTTCAACAAATGAGTCATGATATAAGTTAAAAGCATAATTGAAGCCATAAATTTCAATGTTTTACAATCTCCACCTCTCTGTTAACATTCTCAGTACGTCTCCCTCTAGTAAAAACAGCTTCCATTTCTTCTAAAGACTTTCCTTTAGTCTCAGGCAAGAAAAAGTAAAAGAAAATAAAAGCCACGACAGATATCCCAGCAAACAAAAAGAAAGCACCTCCTGTAGTAATTGCTGCAGAAATAGACAGAAAACTCATTGAAACAGTAGCATTCATCAACCTATTAACAGCAACACCAATACCAGCTCCCAATGCCCTGTACTTAAGTGGAAATATTTCAGCACTATATACCCAAGTAACAGGCCCAAGCCCAATGTTAAAAAACATCACAACTGCATAAGTTGTAATTATGCTAAGGACCAAAGCCCAAATAAGTTTCCCACCAGAATTCTCTGCCAAAGTCAAGAAAATACCAAGTGCAGTTAATGTCACTACCATCCCACTTAAACTTGTTAACAATAGTTTTCTTCTCCCAACTCTGTCAATCAAGAAAGTGGAGAGAACTATAAATATGAACTTAGTAAAACCAACTCCAACTGTGGCTAGTATTTGGTGACTATGGTCATGAACTCCTGCTTTGTCAAAGATTTTATGGCTGTACAATATTACAGCTTCAATCCCAGTTGCATGTTCAAAGAAATGAATTCCTACACCAGCAATTAAAATCCATCTAAGTGATGGTGTTGGTCTTAGCAACAATTCTTTCCAAACACCTTCACCTTGTGACTTTATTGAATCCGGAATCTTGACAATGTCATCGTTACAATTTTCGTCGATACCTACAGCTTGTTTAATTTCCCTCAATCGAAATTCAGCTTCTTGAGGATCATTTGAAACTTTGTACAATATTTTCTTAGCGTCTCCTAAACGGCCTTTCATGATAAGCCATCTAGGAGACTCTGGCATTTTGAGAATGCCAATTGCCAAGAAAAGTGAAGGAATTGCTGCAATTCCTAACATCATTCTCCAACCAAGTCTAAGTGACAATCCAGAAAAAATATAGTTGGACAAATAACCTAGTAAAATACCAATGCTAATTCCAACTTCTGGAAGAGATGTTAGGAATCCACGCGACGATGGAGATGAAACTTCTGCAGAATAAACAGGTGCGATCATGAGTGCAAAACCAACACCAAGTCCAGCAACACATCTTCCTACCAATAAAATCGCGTAACTTGGACCGTATCCCATTATAACGGATCCACACAAGAAAATTAAGGAAGCTATAACTATGGTGTAACGTCGGCCAATATAATCAGAGGTTCTTCCAGCACAAAGTGAACCAACTAAAGCACATAAATTTAGGATCCCAGCTAGTACTTCTGTTTTTGCATCATTGATTTTGAATTCTTCTTTGACAAAGATCATTGCTCCACTCATCACACCAGTATCTGAAATCAAACATAAAATCTTGTTATGTCAATTAATAGTACTAATTTTTGTGTGTAATTAAGTAGGTAGATTATAGCTATGGCATAAATACAAGCATATCATAGATATAAAGGAACTCAATGATTATATGCATGGAATTAAAAATCTTGTAACAAGATCAAATCATGTTGTGGTTGGAAATCAACCCATCATCTTAAAGATTTAGAGATTGAGATTTTTTCATTCTTAATCAAAAGTCTCGGAGTTCAACCGTGTGAAAAGAGAAATTTTGGTAGGGGTAATGCTTTAACCTTAGTAGACTTATCTGACACAAATCTGAATTAGTCGGACAAATAAGTGTTTTTTATAAAACATGACTAAATAAGAAAACGAATCATGGAATAAGGAAAAATGGAAAATATAGGAAGAAGAAAAGAACTAACCATAGCCAAAGATGATGGATATCATGGAGGCAACAATGGCACAAGCACAGGCATATTTATTAATCCTTGTAGGATTTTCTCCATCAGCCTTCTCCATCATTTTTCAATGAAAGATCCTAATTTTATTTTCTCAATTCCTTTGATAAATAATCTTATCCAGCACGAATCTGAAACCTTTGCTGTTATAATCTTCCAATGCTTGATATCTATGAAACAATATATATAGAAGTCACAAACAAGTAGCAGCAGTAAAATCGTAAGACTTCATGCACCTGTGGAACCCACTGAAAATTAGTGATAACTTTTATCTAGTGCATGCATGACAGCTACTGAATTAAGACAATTGGAAAACAGAAGATCAATGATAAAAGAAACCAAATCTCTGCGCTTTCATCTTTTCTAATTTTGGGTCTATATATAGAAAACATATTAAATTTTAATTCTACTTCATCTGTATTTGGGTTTTCTTAAAATATAACGTAATATGGTTGAATTTATGAGAATTTGTGGATAAGAATTACAAGTCCACGAGTCCGGATAGGACTGACCAGTGACACCCCGTATCCGACGCCGGTTTGAGTTGGAGCATTGACTTTAGTTTAGATTTATTTTTTGAGTCAAATCCACTTTAACCCTTAACCTTTACGGGTTGGAAAACAATACCCCTCTCACGTTTTGAATGGGATATAGAACCCCATTGTGCAATAGCTTTCTTGTGAAATAATTTTTTTAATAAAAATCTTTTCTTTTTTCAATAGATAATTTTTAAAACAACCAAGTTCTTTCATTATATCCAAAAGCTCAATATATGACAAACAATTAGGATCTATATAATTTATGGAGTTCCTCGTTAGCCTTCTTTCTTCAAAGTTTAAGATATGATGTAACGCAAAAGCGTCTCCATAATACATTTTCAAATATGACATTATTAACTATAAATTTCTAATCGATAAAGATATTTTTCAAAATAAGAAAACTTTAATATACAAAGAAAATACATAATATAGCAGCAATTATTTCATCTAATATATATGTCAGAGAATTGAATATTTTAGTGTATCTTTTTTCCTTCAAATTGAAATGCTAAAGCATCCATAGTGAATGTGCGTTCAACTTATTTCTTAAATTTTGTATGCAAGATTTTTTTTATTGCAAAAATTTGACAATGGTTTCAATATAATAGAAAAATATCTTAAATTTTGCAAGCAAGGAAGACGAAATTCAAGTATTGGTTTGGATAAAAAATATTATACTTCACCTTTGAAAGGATAAAGAGAGAAAAAATCGTTATTTTAATAAAGAAACTCTCACCAAAAAAATATTGCATAAGGAGGTTCCTTTTTCCATTCAAAATGTGAGGGGTATTGTTTCCCAAGTCTTAAAGGTCAAGGGGGTAAAGTGAATTTTATTCTCTTTTTTGGGGGTCAAATTTGACTTTAGATCATTACGGAATTTTTTTCCTAGTGTTACCACCAATTCAACAAATTTATGACATGTGTGATTTTTTATCACTTGACTAAGATTAAGTGATATGTATTTTCAATTTTATTTATAACTCTTAGATTTAAATTGTTCGATTTAATTTATGTTTGCCAAAAGATATGTGGAGAACATATCAGTCGTTGAATAGACCAAATTTTATTTTGTAAAACTAAACGTCTCTGAGCAACGTTTTTGAAACTTTCTTTAATAAGAAGTCTGGCTCACTAGTCATTCTTTTTGCCTTAATTTCCTAACTTATTAATCCCTATCTATACAATTAGAGAATCACCATCCATCTTTATATAATAAACAACCTACCTCTTTTTTGTCATAATTATTTAAAAACCAATATAACCCATCTCAGCTATTTAAGGCTGATATGTTGAGATCTCAACTTTGAATAGGTCTTAAATACAGCAGATTCTGTTTGATATATAGCCTTCGGTTTGATAGCATTTAGTCAATTTGTCTCTTTGTGTACTTTTTTTAAACAAGAAAAAGATATAAAATTTGCAACCAGCTTAATAGTATTCGCCAAATAAAAAATAAAAACTCTATGTCCTCATTTTTCTCGAGTGTTGGACTGTAGTAGTATAATAGTATAACCCTTGCACATATGGTTATGACATAGAAATTTAGAATAAGTTAGGGCATCCTTTTCAGAATTATAGGAGGCTAATGACCTAATGTTAAAATAATACAGGTTAAGTCAACTAATAGCCCGTTTGGCCAAGGTGCAAAAATCAGTTTATTTTGATAAGTGTTTTTTTTTTTAAAAGTGCTTTTCTCAAAAGTACTTTTGGTGAGAAGCAGTTTGTGTTTGGCTAATTAGTTTGAAAAGCACTTCTGAGCAGCAATTAGTGTTTGGCCAAGCTTTAAAAAACCGCTTCTAAGTGCATTTTTCTCAAAAGTGCTTGTCAAAAAAGTGCTTTGGAGAGAAGCTACTTTTTTCTGGTTCTCCTCAAAAGCACTTTTTTTCCTTCCAAAAGTTTGGCCAAACACCTCAATTTTTGGCCAAAAGTGCTTTTGGGCAAAAAAAAAAAAAAAAAAAAAATACTTTTGGCCAAAAAGAAGCTTGGCCAAACAGGCTATAAGACTACTAAATAGTTGTGGGTGATGGGAAGTAGTTATTGTCATGCCATTAATTTGTAATGCGTGGATAATTGTGTGCACCTCGATTATTTCATCAAATATCGGTTACCTTCAACCAGTAAATAAATTTGGTAACTTTGCCACACAAACTTAATATAATTACTGCCAAAATATTTTGTTTCTGTTAAAATTTAACTCTAATCTCCGATCAAGGGCGGCCAGAGGGTAAAGCCACTAAAGCGGTGGCTTAATTAGGCTCCTGAATTTTGGGGGCCCCAATTTTTGTTTTTCAATTCTTATTTGATGTTCGATATTTAATTTGGAACAACGATTAATTCAAATTCGTACCGTGTAAAATCCATTAAAGTGGGAACTGTTCCTTATAAGGGATTTTTTCGTTCCAAATACTGAAACCGTATACTTTCGATTCAAGAAAGAGATGTGCTATCCATCCCACCACAACTCTTCTCGTGAGGCCCCAAATCTTTTGAAGAAAATATTATGTATTTCAAGTAGAAAAATAAAATATTTTATATAAAAAAAGGATTACATTAATCATTAGAAAATATGTAATACACTTTTAAACTCTATTTATTTTCCTCAGGTTTTCATCATTGCAACAAGTATATTGAAACATAAAATACTTCTTTTAATACAATGATATCAACTTCTTGAATCATGTTCTATTACTTAAGATCATAATGCAAATGAGAGATTAAATAGTTTATGCCGAAAATTTTAAGTAATTTTATTCTCAAATAGTCAAAAAAATCTACTTCAACTAAAAATAAATATGATTTTTTTAAAATGGCCTCACATTAAAGTTTGGCTTTAGACCACCAAACTTATTGAGCGCCCCTGTCTCCGTGAATTATCACTCACTTCATTAACGGGTAAGCCACGTTACTCTTAAATACAAGGAATCATCGTCATGCTTTTGCTCTCATGGTCAAGATAGATAGGCTGAGCATGATATAGACTTCTTTAATTTAGGTTGAAAGTTCAAAAGTTATACTGGTAGGGTTTTTATTAGCCACATTTTGTTACTATACAAATTAAATGGTAGGCCATATATGCATATATTATATAGAAGAAAGCATACTGTCCAAGTTGCATAGATATTTCGACCTTTGACCAACCAAACAGTCGGGCTTTATGATGGGTCGTAGGTACAAAAGGTGATAAGAGTGGAGATAATATGTAGCTTATGAAGATTAGTGCTTTCGTGGGAAGTCAAAGCCAGAAAGATTTGCTAAATACTATGCACCTAGCTGATATAATAGTACTATTCTTTTCTCATTAATTCCATGTGTATACGTGATGTTAGGCTAGAAACTCGTGTTTTACCCGTAGTATTATATTCCAATGATTGCATTTTTTACGTGCGTTTGAGTTCAAATGATAGTGAATTGCACTTAGTACGTGTTTTATGCCTTGCAGGAAGTGATCCTGAGCTTAAAAGTTAATTTGGAGCTAAATGATCAATTTGGAGCTTTGAAGTCTGAGTAAAAGCCCAATACATTAAGCCGGGATCGTGTTCGGAGGTCGTGTACCAAGTCCGGATGTTAAAAGAGGACGAAATAAGTTCACTCCGAGAAAATTACACTGCCGCGCTGCATGGGGCACTGCAAGGCGCGGCGCAGCAGTGTAAAATTGTGCCTGACTCGAAAATATGAAGCTGCAGATAAAATGCACAACCGCGCCGCATGTTGCGGCGCAGCCTGCGGCGCGGCTGTTCAATTTTCACAGAGCTAAGTCCTAGTTCGCGCAGAAATGGGTTTTTTTCATCTGGGCCCGACCCTACTTGGTACAGATACATGTAAAAATGCTATTTTGAGAGGTTGGACACACTTTTGACATAATTTAGACCTAAAGAGGCTAAGGAGACCGGAGATTCGACCTAAGGAGTCAAGAACACACTAGGAGCAAGACGGAGAATTCTTCAACGAGTTTTTCCTTCCTCTTCCTATTTTTCATTGTTGGTTATGATTTTTAGTATTGTAGTTTTACATACTATTATGAATAGCTAATTTGTTATCTAGGGTTTTGATAGAACCTTTTGTAGGATAAATTCTTGTTATTTTTATATAATTGAGCCGTAGTATTTTTTCTATTTGTTCAACTACGTGTTTGTTGTAGTTAATTGACAGGATCCTCAATTAGCTGTGCCTATTTAGTGTGCATAACTCGGGAGAGAGTTCATATTTAGATAGTTGTTGAACAACACCACTCCCAAAGTATAAGAGGGATCTATAACTGCGGATTTAAAGGCGGGATTAGGGATAACGAAGCCTTGGGTGCAATCTAAAGTGAGCTGTAATAAACAAAGCCAGCTAGCGTAACTCGGGAGAGTGCGTCTAGTAAATTGTGGTAATTACTCGGGAGAGAGTTACGACAGTCAGAGCGCTCATGATCGGTAGAGAATACTTAGGCGAATTTATAGAAAACGTAGCAGGAAGGATTCCGACAATTGGGAAAATCATAACTCTAGACCTCCTTAATCTTTTCTCCAACTTGTAGTATCTTTAGTGTTAATTTATTATTTTAATTTGTTAGTTAGTTAGTTAAACACAAGAATCTTAATACTTATAACATAGGAATTGTTCGAGCTTGTCTTCTTAGCAATATTGAACAACTGTAGCTAAGCCTTAGTTCTCTGTGGGATTCGACTCCGGACTTTTAGACCGGATTATATTTGCAGCGACCGCTTATCCTTTTTACGACTAGAGTTGGGCGTGATCAAGTTTTGGCGCCGTTGCCGGGGAACTAACGGTGTAGTTGTAGCTATATATATTGCTAGGTTACGAGTTTGAACTTTTATTTTGTTTTCTTTTGTTTTTTTTTGTTTTTTTTTATTACTATAGATTTGAGAAAC